AGGGGTTACACGCTTCTCTGTGTCTACTTGTTTCACTGGTGACAGATTTAATGTGGATAATAATGCTCACTTAATATAGCAGTACAGTATAATTTAACAGAAGTTAGTAATTTAAGTTAAAATGAATTTTCATCTACAATTTTCAGAGCATCATGTGTGTATGATAGAGAAGAGCAGTGGGTGAAGAGCTAACCTAAAAATAGAACCATCCTGAATTGTGTGTTAGTGCATTCATTTCTTTTACTTAAACAGCTGAGACTATGAAACGTGGGAAAATGTATGGCATGTTAGAGACAATTTGCGTAAATAATAAGAGCTTAAACCAAAAGATTGTACCAGTCACCTAACACAAGACATGAAATCATGTTTACTTACAGTTTTAGCCTGTCAACTAAACCAGTGTTGGCAAATGTTTCCTCTACAAGTCCAGATTACGAATGTTTTAGACTAAGCAGACTATCCAATTTCTGCTGCAGCTACCCAACAACTCTGCCTTTGCAGCCTGAAAATAGCCATAAACAATAGGTAAATAAATGAGCATGGCTGTGTTTTAGTAAAACTTTATTTACAAGAACAGGTAGCAGGCTGGGTTTGGCTTGAATGAAAAGGTGGGAGCAGTGGAGCTGAAATTAGACTCTCTACAAGATAAGTTGTGCACAAAATGTGTTGATCTATGGCTGGCTTTGGGCAGAATTAGTTGATATACAGCTGGCTACAGGCTGTGTGTTACGTATTAATTATGACTATCATGCAAATACAAGATGAGATTTATGAGTGGGTATTATATCAATACATCATGACCATTTTCCTCAGGGTGATCAGGGAGATAGATTCTCAGTGGCTTTCCATTGAGTGGGAGAACTATTAATTAGATTAAGATCACTTAAGTTATAGATGTTTTCAATACCACTCATTCATTCATCCAGCGCTATGTTGTTCATATCTTCCTAGGATCTGGGAATACAAAGATAAATAGAAAATAATATCTATTCCCAAGGGCTCAGTCTAGTTACAGGAAGTGATGAAAAAATAATTTAAAAGGTTTAATAAATCTCATACCCAGTAGCTCAGTGATAAAGAATCTGCCTGCCATGCAGGAGATGTGGGTTTGAGCTCTGGGTCGGGAAGATCCCCTGTGAAAGAAAATGGTTACCCTCTCCAGTATTCTTGCCTGTAAATTTTCATAGCCAGAGGAGCCTGGCTAAGCCTGTGGGGGTCACAAAGAGCTGGACACGACTGAATGACTGAGCATAGCCCAACACATAGAAAAAGCACGGACAAGGGACTCTGATATGGGGAAAGAGAACCTTTCAACTTTTCCTGAAGCTATTAAGGAAGGCTTTGCAGAAAAGATGTCGTTTATTTGGTCTTCAAAGACTGAATGTTTGATCACCAGCCCAGGTTGGATGCATGAGACAAGTGCTCGGGCCTGGTGGACTGGGAAGACCCAGAGGAATCGGGTGGAGAGGAAGGTGGGAGGGGGGATCGGGATGGGGAATACATGTAACTCCATGGCTGATTCATGTCAATGTATGACAAAACCCACTGCAATGTTGTGAAGTAATTAGCCTCCAACTAATAAAAATAAATGGAAAAAAAAAAAAAAGACTGAATGTTTGCCAGGCAGACAGATGAGAGAGAATTCTAGGCAGACAGGCAATTTCATTGTACTTTCTTCATTTTATTCTTAATGTCTGGTCATCAGGCTTCTGTCTCCACAATTTAAGCTATTCTCTCCTCTCAGCTCTTTCTCAGGCTGTATATTCTCCTTGATTTTTCTGCCTTATGTCACATTGTTTAATCACTGTCTTCTCCTCATTCATTATTTTTTCCCCTCCTTCTTCTTTTTTTAAACAGATACATACTTTTGGAAAATCCCTCAGTTTGAAATATGGAAAATAGATGGTAATAGAGAGACTGGTTACAATTTTATTGTGTTAATTTAAGTAAGAAATAATAGGTCCTGACCTGAGTCTTGGAGTGCTAATTGAAAGAGGGGAAAAGATTCTAGAGGTGTTAGGAAAATTGATTACAGTAGTTGTCTGGACTGATCAGATTTGGCACTGTGAGAGGTAAATAAGATATGACCCATGACCCCACCACACTGAACTTGGTGTCTTAGAACCTTGAAAAAAGCAGTTGACTCCTGTCTCAGAAACACTACCACCCCTGAACACATATAAAACAGACAGATAATTTTACTTGCTTCTTTGAATTATTTTTTAATTGTCTTAAAATACACATATAAAACGTTACCATCGTCACCAGTTTTAAGTGTACATTTCAGTGGCATTAAATGCATTCACATTGTTGTGCAATCATCATTACCACCCATTTCCAGAACTATTTCATCTTTTGTGAAACTGGAAGTCTGTATTTATTAAACAAAACTCCTGTTTCCGCCCCCTGCATCTCTGGCAAGCACCACTTACATTCTGTCTCTATGGATTTTATTACTCTAGGTACCTTGCACAAGCGGAATTACACAGTATTTGTCTTTTAAGGAGTGGCTTATTTTACTTGGCATAATGTCCTCAAAGTTTATCCATGTTGTAACATATGTCAGAATTTCCTTTTTAAAAACTGAAAAATATTCTACTATGTGTATATACCATATTTTGTTTATCCATTCACCCATTGATGGATGCTTGTGTTTCTCCTAGCTTTTGGATATTTACTTACTTTCTAATGCTTAAAATAACATTGCAAGATGCTTTTCAAACTAAGTACTATTTAAGTACTATTGTAACTATTATTTCAAACTAAAAAATCTACAAATTATCAATATTTTCAAAAATGCATGATTTTTTTCACTAATTAACCTAGTGTAAAAAAGAGGGAGAGGAAAGCACAAAACTGTTCTTAACCACACAGATATCTCAAAAATCTTCCATCTTCTATGTACTCTTTTTGTGATTTTTCTCTGCTTTGTCCTTTCTTCCCTTTTATAACACACTTAGGAAGAAATTGGCTGCTAAATAACCCTTAGAATAGCCAACATGTATAATTATTACTGTTTGATAGTCAGAGCTTGTTTTGTTTTATTTGCACCTTTGCCAAATAAAGCAAAGATGTATTGCTTCTTACCTCCCAATTCTCTCATCTGGTTTCAGTATTCTTCTTCCTGAAGAACATAATTCAGTAGCTCTTACAACAAGGACCTAGTCAATTTCTCAGGCTTTGTTGCTCTGAAAGTCTATTTTGCCCTCACTCTTTTTTTTTTTTCCCATTTATTTTTATTAGTTGGAGGCTAATTACTTTACATCATTGCAGTGGTTTTTGTCATACATTGAAATGAATTAGCCATGGATTTACGTGTATTCCCCATCCTGGTCCCCCCTCCCACCTCCCTCTCCACCCGATCCCTCTGGGTCTTCCCAGTGCACCAGGCCCGAGCACTTGTCTCATGCACCCAACCTGGGCTGGTGATCTGTTTCACCCTAGATAATATACATGTTTCGATGCTGTTCTCTTGAAACATCCCACCCTCGCCTTCTCCCAGAGTCCACAAGTCTGTTCTATACATCTGAGTCTCTTTTTTCTGTTTTGCATATAGGGTTATCGTTACCATCTTTCTAAATTCCATATATATGTGTTAGTATACTGTAATGTTCTTTATCTTTCTGGCTTACTTCACTCTGTATAATGTGCCCTCACTCTTGAGTGAAAGTCAGAGGACCATAGTTAGACACATCAGCATGAAACCTCAGGATACCAAGGAAAGAGAGGCCTACTAACTTAACTTAGATGTAGACATTTGGCATATGACAGAAGCAGCATTATAATTAGTAGTATTGGGAAATTTGGCACTCAGATAGATGAAAAACCTAAATAAAAAAAAATGCAATATTGTAAAAGTTTGGAAAAAATAGAAAATAATATCTTTATGGTATTGTAGTTATTACTATATAAGATTCAAGAACATAAACGATAAAAAATAATAAACTTAAATATCTTAAACTTTAAAAAAAATCCTCACACAATACCTTATACAAAGTAGAAAAGCAACATGCATGGTAGGATATTGGCATAGCACACAGCAGACAACTACTATTATGTAAAGAGTTCCAAGAAATCAATAAGAAAAAGTGATAATAGAAAAACTGGGCAAAGAATGTGAATAGGCAATTTATAGAAGAATAAACTTGAATAACCAGTAAGCATTTGAAAAGATAATTAGTCTCACCAGTAATGAGAGAACTTAAAAATAAAGAAACATTGAGATGGTCCCTTATACTCACTGGCTTGGCAAGGAAAATATTTTATTTATTTATTTTTTTAAGGAAAATATTTTAATCTGACTACACAGGATGTTGTTAAGGACATGAGAGAAAAAGAACTCTAAAAAGTCACTGATTAGAGAGTGAATTGCTATAATCACTTTGAAAAATTTAGTAGTGCCAGTGGCTCAGTAACTAAAAATTGCCCTGCCATTCCAGGAGACACGGGTTCAATCCCTGGAGAAGGAACTGGCAACCCACTCTATATTCTTGCCTAGAGAATCCCATGGACAGAGGAGCCCCGTAGGCCACAGTCCATGGGGTCACAAAGAGTCAGACATGACTTAGAGTCTAAACAACAACTACAACAATAAATTTGAAGGGACACACAACCTACAACCCGGCAGTTCCACGTCTGAGTGTCAATTATGCATTTAATAAAATACTGTAAAACAGAGATTCCTTTTCTAAAATAAGATGTAGGGATACTCTTAATGTTATGTTCTACCTTATGAATAAATACACTTTATAAAATCATTTTAGGATAAGAGTACTTAGGGTAACCCTACAGCCAAATACTCATCAAGGTAATGCTTTCCACATAAGTTGTAAAGTCCTTAATCATTAGAGCAGGCAGATACACCTGACTGTAATGTATAAATTGAAATATTATAGCCTATCATCATTAAGCTTAAATCAAAAATAAGTAAAGATTAGCATTTTGGTACAACCGCTCCTCACTCAATGAATGACAGTTATTTTCAAATTATTTTCCTGCAGTCTTTGGCATCTGTGCTGCCCTACACAGCACCTACCCCCGCCAACCCTTGGATAAGCCAGGAGTGTTGCTGGACAGTGGAAGAGGTGCTGGGGATGTGCTCACAGTCTCCTGCTCGTCCTGATGGTAAGTGGATGCTCAGCTGCAGTTCATGGAACACTTATTCCCCTCCTTAGTATCTCTTATTCTATAAAAGGAGAAAGAGTAGAGGAGGGGAGAGGAAATCTAGGAGATGAAAGAGAAAAGCAGGAACAGAAAGAGGAATTAGAAGGGCTGTGGTTTTGAAACACAAAGCCTGAATAACAGAAAATGCAAACAGAATAAGAGAAGAAAAAACTTAAAGCTATGGAACAAAGGAATATGAGAAATGAAATCTTTAATCTGAAAAAAAAATGTTTGATGATAACAAGCAACAGGAGTCTTAAGAACATCCTGAAATGTCCTTGATTGTACTAAAGTGTTTCTCATGGTCATTTTATGTCTGTAAGAATGGTAGGTGTACAAATGTAAATGATGAAAAGCAACCTTGTAGGGGAAATCAAAGCGCTAGTTTGGTTTAATATGGCTTGAACAAGCTAAATACACCCACTTTATTCAAGTGCTTTGCAGCAATCCATGGACTTTTTCGATTCTATGAGACCCTTGGGATTCCAGCCATACTTAGGATTCACTCGCCTTGTAGTTTTGGTACCAAAGCCTTACAAACGCTGTTTGTGTAGAGAAATCAGTGATGTTAAAGAAAGCCATCATTCATAAGGAAAATTCCAAAGGGAGCAGTAACACAAAATGATGAAAATGCCAAAGATATGAAAAATAAAGACAATTGTTACAAGACACAATAGCTCTGAATGTTTGCTTTTATGTGACAGATGTTTTTAACCAAAGCTCAACGTTGGCAGTGTAAGTACATTTATGATTTTAATTTGTATTCTATCCCCTTTTCAAATTGATGTCTACTTTCAACATCTGTGAAGGCTATGTAACCTGAATTTGACAGGGGAAAGTGAACAGACTGGCTTTGGAGTGTTTCCATTAAGTCCACGTAATAGACTGTTAACAAAAATCTTAAATAGCTATTCTAATCATCGACAGCAATCTTACACAAATTAAATTAGACCCAAAGAGCCCGATTAACTTTAAAATGCCTTACAGGCATGTAGCATAAGTTTAATTCTTTTTTCCTTTGGAATAGAATAGGATTGTTCGGTGTGTGTCTGATGTACAGTTTAAAAAAGAAGTTAGCATGCATGTTGGATTCATAAGGACTCAAGACAGAGTTTCATTTTCTATCAGGAAACCACACTTCTGTGCCTAGAAATTCAGTTACACCACAGCCAAGCTCCCTGTTTACATGCAAAGTAGATGCTTTGAAAGAGGTAGGGAACACAGCTCCTCTAATAAGCTCAAGGAGGTCTTGCTGGTAAAGAAAGGAGGCATATAACAATAGGCATTAACATTAAAATGATGCCATCAGCAGAGGTTAAAGCTGAGCTAGAATTTCTGTAATTCAAACCCACCTATCAAGAAATAAGCTGGATTCATGACGTGAAGTATCATTATACTATGAATCAAGGAAGAACCATTGTTATAAATATCTTCCTTTCTTTGTTTTAGCCAGTTCCCCAGAGGCCCGTCCAAATGTACTTCTTGAATTTTCACTCATCTCAAATTCCAGCCATCATTTGTACATTTTGGTATAGTCTCCAGTCTTCATAGATAGTTGATAACTTCGTGTAGGCACCTTCCTTCCGGCTGAATGGAACATGTAATTTCTGCCCAAATCAATAGCAATGAATAAAGTCGATTCATATTAAAGAATACTAACCACCAAAAATTCCCAAAACTACATGTGGACATGTGAGGAAGATATGGCCTTTCAAGTCTTACAAAGCTATCACAGACACCCATACTTGTCAACACCCCTGTGTTCTGGGACCCTAACAGTAAGTTTTTTCACCCACTTAGGAGTTGTTCTCTGCTCCCCATCTCCCCAGACACTGGATCAGGGTCATACAAAATGTCCACTGCCTGCAGAATATTCATTAGTACCTTATAGAACCAAAACACTTTTTAGAAACCCACTCTCCCTTTCACACATCTCGAGATTTAACTACCACCTAGATCACCAAGGATAGAACCAGATTCATTCAAGTCAGTGGCAGTCCCCCAGCCACTGTCAGTCTAAACCACGAAGTGTATAGCTCCATTGCCACTAGCAGCCAAATTGTGAGCACCAAGAGAACCAGTCCTAGGATGAAAGTGATGCTGCTTTACCCTTGTGAAAGTGAAAGTGTTAGTCGCTGAGTCGTATTGACTCTTTTGTGACCCCATGGACTGTAACCTGCCTCTTTCCGTGGAATTCTCCAAGCAAGAATACTGGAGTGGGTTGCCATTCCCTTCTCCAGGGGATCTTCCTGACCCAGGGATAGAAGCTGAGTCTCCTGCATTGCAGGCAGATTCTTTAGTGTCTGAGCCACCAGGTAAGTCCTGCCTTTGGGCTCTAGTTGTATAATAAAATTTTCTTAGTGTTTATGCCAACCTGAGTCAGGGATTTTAATTCCCTGTAGTTGAAAATACTTAACTGATTTAAGGGGTCTTCTGAGCAATTTGTACTCCAGTGTCTCTGAATTTTGCCTAGAATTCAACCAGCAGTTCATGAGGGCTGGGCCAAGACGCTCTGAACGCCAGAGTGTACTCCGTGCTGTCTGTATTCTCCAGGGCTAGAGATCTGGTTGTGAACCAAGCATGTGCTTGGCTTTCTAAAAATGGGTTTATCTCCCAAGAGAGTTCTATCTTCATCCAACTAGACTCTTCCTACCCACCCGCCAAGTATGTTCAAGTATGCCATAAAATATATCAGGCTAGATTCAAACTAGAACCTTTGTTACATAAATACATGTATTTTTTATTCAGTTCAGTTTAGTTGCTCAGTCGTGTCTGACTCTTTGCGACTCTATGGACTACAGCACGCCAGGCTTCCCTGTCCATCACCAACTCCCAGAGTTTACTTAAACTCTTATGTCCATTGAGTCGGTGATGCCATCCAACCATCTCATCCTCTGTCGTCCCCTTTTCCTCACGCCTTCAATCTTTCCCAGCATCAGGGTCTTTTCAAATAAGTCACTTCTTTATATCAGGTGGCCAAAGTATTGGAGTTTCAACTTCAACATCAGTCCTTCCAATGAATATTCAGGACTGATTTCCTTTACGATTGACTGATTTGATCTCCTTGCTAAAACCCACTTTCTTAGTTTATCTTCACACCTCTCAATTTTAGATGAAACCTGGAGTGAGGAAGGGGTGGCTCAGACAGTAAAGAATCCTCCTGCAGTGCCGGAAACTTGGGTTCAATCCTTAGGTTGAGAAGATCCCCTGGGGGAAGGCATGGCAACCCACTCCGGTGTTCTTGCCTGGAGAATCCCCTGGACAGAGGGGCCTGGAGGGCGACAGTCCATAAGATTGCAAAGAGTCGGACACGACTGAGCGACTAAGCACAGCACACAGGCTCAAACTAGAACACTTGTTACATACATAAATGTATTTTTTATTCATTTGTGCTAAAGTGCACTTTCTCAGTTTATCTATCTCCACATCCCTCAATTTTAGAAGAAACCTGGACTGAGGAAGGGGCCAGACTCAGGAGAACAACTGAGGAAAACCTGAGCTGGGACTGACCTCACATCCCTGCGCTCAGTTCAGGGCTCTGCCTGAGGCAGACACGCAGCCTTCCAGGGTAACCCCAGGGCCCTTCCCCAGTGGCCTGGGAGTGTAACGCGTGCATTATGCTGGGGATTGAGAATGAAACTGTCGAAATTCTGTATTTAAAAAGTCCGAATTTTTCTTATCGGCCAAATTAGCTGTTTACATGATTTTTACTATTTTTCTTGAAATAGGGCTCAGGTGCAGTGAAAATCTAAAGAATCAACCACTCAGAAGGGCTCTAAGCCCCAGGTCAAAGCTCCGCATATGTCGTCCGACTGATGATAAGTTCCGTCCAATTACGCTTGCCCTTCTTTCCGTAGGTGTGTTTTAAATTAATTGAGTGGTCATCTAACAACAAAATTTTATATTTTAACAGAAAAAAAGAAGTAGACTTTTGATTTCATGCATGTGGACCTTTCATCTTATACCTTGTGTTCACGCTCAGTTGCTTCTGTCGGGTCCGAATCTTTGCGACCCTTTGGGCTCGCCAGGCTCTGTCCATGGGATTCTCCAGGCAAGAGTGCTGGAGCGGGTTCCCATGCCCTCCTCCAGGGGATCTTCCTGATCCAGGAATCGAACCAGTGTCCCCTGCGTCTCCTGCACTGCAGGAAAATTCTTTACTGCTGAGCCACCTGGGAATCCCATTTTATACCTAATCCATATAAATACTTGATTGTAAAAAATTGCTACCAAACTAATCTGGAAACGTGGTTTACAATATATCTCTGACCTACTCAAGAACACACACTGCTTCTTTCCTTCTTTCCCTTCCTCCTCAAGTCTAGAATTCTCTGGCTGATTTTCAAAGCATTCGGTGACCATATACCACTAATCAATTATTCCACTTCACCACCTCCCTTACTCTCCAAAATATCTGCACTATAGACAGATTCAGCAAAATTCTCTGATACTCAGGAACAGTTCTCAATCCAGTTTTAGCTCCCATTTAGCAAACATCTGAAATGCCCTCCACCCTTCTACAACAGTTCAAGTTCCATCCATCCCCCAACAATCCTTATAACCCCCTCTTCATTGCTGGTGAGCCCACATGCTTTGCTGTGGCTCAGCCTCATCCATTGCTGTGTTCAGTTCAGTTCAGTTCAGTCACTCAGTCGTGTCCGGCTCTTTGCGACCCCATGAATCTCAGCACGCCAGACCTCCCTGTCCATCACAAACTCCCGGAGTTTACTCAAACTCATGTCCATCGAGTCGGTGATGCCATCCAGCCATCTCATCCTCTGTCATCCCCTTCACCTCCTGCCCCCAATCCCTCCCAGCATCAGGGTCTTTTCCAATAAGTTAACTCTTTGCATGAGGTGGCCAAAGTATTGAAGTTTCAGCTTCAGCATGTCCTTCCAATGAACACCCAGGACTGATCTCCTTCAGGATGGACTGGTTGGATCTCCTTGCAGTCCAAGGGACTC